AAAATTAATAAAAGAAGATTGGTTCAGTAAAATTGCAAAAATTGCAATCCTCACCATATTCTTTTATTAACGGGTTAACTCTGAGAATCAATTTCTCATTCACCCTCTACCATTTTTGGCGTATAAATTGTCAAAACATTTATCTCATTTAAGAGAACACACGTCCATTAATAAACGGTTAAAACCGTTAGTGGACCTATTGACAAATATACCCAAATTGGTCCATTTAATGCCAATTAAAATGCCAAAAATTCCAACAGGTACTACATATATGGATATCTTGTAATCTTGAATATTCATTATAATTTTCAAAAGGTTGAACGTAATTCAACAGACCAAAGTAGAATCCGAATACTATGATAATAGATTGTCAAGTTCTGGTAATCTACTATCAGGTGTTGCTGAACTTTGATAATCGATTATCACCAAGTGACAATCGATTATCATAGGCTGCTAAACATTTGATAATCGATTATCACCAAGTGATAATAGATTATCAGAGGCTGCTGAACTTTGATAATTGCTTATCACCAAGTGATAATCGATTATCAAGGGCTGCTGAACTTTTAGAAAGGTCCGAAATCAAAGTGTTTTCAAAGTAAGAATCAATAATTGAAATATGGATTAGAAACCGAGACTTAGCTCTCAAAATAAGTGTTCGGGATCATAAGTCAAGCATGCTCACTTAAATCCAAAGGTAGTATACCATTCATAACATCATATCGTCATCCTAGACGCATGTCGTAGGATCATGGCATACCATTGCATACCGCGTCAAGAGGTCAGGCCTAGTGCGCCTCTTCTACGAGCCTTTCCAGGAGCCTTCAAGATCTGACGGGTTTCATCAGGAGGGCTTGTGTACATGTCGTACATGGTAACTAGGCATTCAGTTATCACCCACAGGTTCTAGACTTTTTCAAGAGACTAAGGTTTCCTCGGCTCATCACTTGGGCAAAAAAACCGAACTAACATGGTACCATACCGGACCGTAATGGTATCGAACCGTTTATAGTACCGAATGATACCGAACCATATGGGACCGTAATGGTACCGAACCATATCTGATGAGTTTTTTTCATCACGAACCGAAACCGAACCGATACCAAATGGGACGGGACCGTGATGCATATATTTAAAACCGATTATCACAGACCGAACCGTCCAACGCTATATACAGAATGCGTATCTCAAATAATTATGGAGTATTTGTCTACTTCATCTTACCGCATATAGAATACTTCATATTTTATTATTCATTTTTAAACTCTCTCATTATTATTGTTGTTATTATATTTATCATTACTATTAGCATTATTTTTTTTTGTAGTTATTAGTATTCCAATATTATATGAAATGGGAAAAAAATTATTTTTTAACTTTGGACTCGTTATCTTTTATTTTTTATGTTTATGATCCGTTTAAATTTGAAATCAATACTTTTATTTAACAAACTTGTACTTTTTATACAAACTTATACATTAAATTCAATATTTTTTAAGTAATGTACATTTATTTTTTTGGCACGGTTTGAGCATGAGTATGGTATTATACCGTTCCGTTTAAAAACGGAATGGTACCGGATGGTTTTGTAGTTCATCCCGTACTGATACCGAACTGTTTAAATAAGAGCGGTCCGTGATAGGTTCCGGTAGCATCACAGACCATCACGGACCGCGCTCACCCCTATGCGTGGGGATAGGGCACGGGTCCCTGCGCAGTCTAACTCATGCATCATGAATCATTTGGCATTGCATCGTTTGTAAGTAATTATGCAGACCTTAATTATCAAAACGTACCGCACTTGATATCTGACACTGTCGACGATAAGGCCAATGTATTTATAATTGGATAATATTCCAAAATGAATCTCCATGCATGATATGTAATTATGTATATGTATATATGTTTTACTATATATATATATATATATATATTAATTTTAACTTTTACATCTAGAAATAAATAAATTTAAAAATAAAACCAATTAACGAAAAAATCAAAGACCCATTTAGGAATAGCGTTCTGGATAAAATTTTAACAGTGCTGATTAATTTTAAAAAAGTTGATACTAAATATCAGTCGTAGATAATCTTTTCAAAACGCTAACATTTATCTCTAACGTTATTTTCAAACACGTCCCAAATCAATCTTGGACGGGTTAAGTGTGTATACAATCGTGTTTCCTAGCAAATGGGTTAACCCGTGGACCCCGGCCCATTAAATATTGAAACTACTTAGATCACTGCTTTCGCATTTAACAACCATGCATTTGACCCTTTCTCAAACAAAGACCCTGACTTTAAAAGGAATAAAAGCTACTACCAAAGTTTTGAACCCAAGAAAAAAAAACGGAAAACCCAAATGTCAAGTCATGTTGACTATATTGGCCTCACATTGACACATTTCATTCCATTTTTACACCCATTCACAAACATCTCACTTTACTCCCTCAATAACACCCAATATTTGCCAATATACTTTTCTTATAATTTAGGGAAAAAAATTCACACTAATACCCGTAAAAATAGATTTTACGAAAATATTCCCAGATTTGATAATTTTTATTTTTGCTCTCAACTTTCTTATATCTTTATGTCGTTACACTTTACTCTCCTGATCAACGTCTACTTGAAAAAAATTGACTTGTATCGAGAGTTCTATGATCTGATTCCGATGAGACTCAGACTCACTTTTTGTATGCATTGGACATGCTCTCATGCACTTAGGGTCCACAAGGTCGACATGCATGATACTTCACACATAAATTTTAAATTCTTTTTATTTTGAAAATCTAAAAAATGCTTATCTCAGCAGTCAGCACCAAGCAAATGTATACGGAGTATTAAATATACATGAAGGTCTACCGTCCACCTTAAATCCATTTAAGAATTCGACCCTACAGTTCTAATTGGGATACATACGATGCTCCATTCATAAAATTCATAGTTCTAACCCCATCACCCTTCCGGTAAACCCCCACTCAGTTTTGACCCCAACTCACCCCACCCATGTCAATGAAAGTGTGTAAATTTAGTTGACTTAGAGATCAACAAATCAAATTAGGAAGATTAATTTGGGATGGATGAAATATATGTTAAATGTTTTTAATGAAAAATTTAAAAATTAATTTTTAAGGTAGCTGTTTTTTAATTTTTTTTCTTTTTAATAATTAAACTAGTATTTTTTAATGAAAAATTTAGAAATTAATTTTTAACGTAGCTATTTAGGATATATAATTATAATACTGTAATTTTGTTATGTATATTAGTATGCTTTAAGTTATTGTTTCAATGAAATAGTTTATATAATTTAATTTGTTAGAATCAAGATTCATTTTATCTATCCAGTCTAGAGCAGTAGAATCCTCGAGCGGTCGTGCTAAAAAGAAAGGTGAAAAAAATTATATGAAACTCGCTTTACATTTCACTTTTGACCCATTACCGTTTACAGATATAGAACAATATTTGAAGTCTGCAACTTCTATGAAATTAAATGACTCAAGGAAAAATATTGTTAAAAGGAATGGTGAAATTTGTACTAAATATGACTAAAACATAAGTCATTTCCTAATGTAGGACTTAAATTTTTTTATTCCCTAAAAAATACTTAATAATGTCTAATGGAAGGAATAATGTCCAGTGATGATGAACATTTATTTGAATAATGACTAATTGATAATGACCAATGATCTTACATTAAGAAATAAAAACATATGATCCTATATTAAGAAAATCATTATATTTTAGTCTTATCTAAATTCGCTACATATCTGAATTTGAATGGAGAAAGGTTTTGAACTAAAAAGTTGGTGTCTTTGGAAGTTCACACGAAGTGACCTCCGCTCCTCGAGGGCTCGCTATATATAGCCATGCACCAATAGTAATACCACTATTTACACTACGATACAACCAATACTCTTTACTTGAGAGTGTGCTTCAATTCCACATAATATGGCTCCGCCACAACCTTTGGTTTTCACGGTGAGGAGGCGGATGCCGGAGCTTGTTTCTCCGGCGGGGCCGACGCCGAATGAGATTAAATATCTATCCGACATCGACGACCAAGAAGGCTTGAGGTTCCAGATTCCGGTCATCCAATTCTACCGCAGAGACGAGACCAATCTTAACGGGAAAGACCCGGTGAAAGTTATCCGGGAAGCACTGGCGAAAGCTCTCGTGTTTTATTACCCCATGGCGGGAAGGCTGCGGGAGGGCCCCGGCCGGAAACTAATGGTGGATTGCACCGGGGAGGGGGTCGTTTTTATCGAGGCGGACGCAGACGTGGCGCTGGCGGATTTCGGAGACGCGCTTCAGCCTCCATTCCCGTGTTTGGAGGAGCTTCTTTATGATGTTCCCGGTTCCGAAGGCGTTCTCCACTGCCCTTTGCTCCTCATTCAGGTAGGAAATAACACTAAAACTTAAGTCATGTCCGTAAATAACACTTAAATTGTTTTATTCCTTAAATAAACTTCATAATGTTCATAATATACAGTAATGACCAATATTTACTTAAATAATAACTAAAAGTCCTAAATTGAAAAAAATACATTACGGAGTATATTTTAGTATAATTTAGTGCTATTTACGGTAAATTATCTGGTTCTTATTTTACCAAAGAATCACTTCTTTTACGATATCAATGTATTAAGATTTATAACACGAGCAAAACCATGCCTCTTATGTTTTTGGGGTGTGTAGGTCACTCGCTTGAGCTGCGGTGGGTACATTTTCGCATTGCGTTTGAACCACACAGTATGCGACGCCTTCGGTCTGGTCCAATTCCTGAACGCCGTCGCCGAATTAGCGCGCGGCGGTCGGAGTCCGTCCGTAATGCCGGTGTGGCGGAGGGAATTGTTGGACGCCCGGAATCTACCGGGCGCGACGCCGACGTTCGCTCACCACGAGTACGATCAAGTTCCTGAATCGGAGGGGGCCGCCGTTATAGCATTGGATGACATGGCACACCGTTCCTTCTTCTTCGGGGAGGGAGAGATAGCCGTTCTCCGGCGGCTGCTCCCCGTCCGCCTACGGCGGTGCTCCACCTTCGACGTGCTCACGGCGTGCCTGTGGCGGTGCCGTACCGTCGCCCTCCGACCCGACCCGGACGAGGAGGTTCGGGTCATCTGCATCGTGAACGCCAGATCCAGATTCAACAACCCCCCGATTCCTCGGGGCTACTACGGCAACGCGTTCGCGTTGCCGGTGGCGATGGCCGCCGCGGGAGATCTGGCGAAGAAGCCGCTGGGGTACGCGGTGGATCTGGTGAGGAAGGCGAAGGGGGAGGTGAGCGAAGAGTACATGAGGTCGGTGGCGGATCTGATGGTGGCCAAGGGGCGGCCGCATTTCGCGGTTGCGAGGACATACTTGGTTTCCGACCTGAAGCGGGCCGGGTTCGGCGAGGTGGATTTCGGGTGGGGTAGACCGGCTTACGGCGGGCCGGCGAAAGGAGGGGTGGGAGCCATCCCGGGGCTGTCTAGCTTCTATATACCGTCCAAGAATGGAACGGTGGTTCCGGTGTCTTTGCCGGCCTCTGCAATGGAAACATTCGTGAGGGAAGTTGAATATATGATCAACCCACATTTTGATCAAATCAGATCTGCTCTTTGATTAATTACATAATCTTTGTTTCTTGTACGTTTATATACATCATTTCATAAATAAAATATTCTATAACTTCTTACAAAAGCTTGAGTAATCTAATTATTACTCTCTCCGTCCCGAAATATTCTTCTTATTTGACTTTTTACGGTTTCTAAGATTGCACTTTGACCACTAATATTTTTATTTATTCATGGATATAATTTATAAAAATTTGATATTTGAAAACTATATTTCAAAATGAATATATTCATATTAAAGTTATATCGTAATACAATGTATTTTTTCCACATATCATAGTCAAAGTTTACAAACTTTGATCAAGAAAAGTCAAATGGGAAGAATATTTCCGGACGGAGGAGTAATAATTTTTATATTTAATCTCTAATTCTAGATGTTACATAAATGATAATTAATTTTTAAAAACTATTCCATAATCGGTTTTTTGGAAGCCATTTGTAAAAAAACAAAATTGTCATATTTGTTACGATTTTAAATACTTAAGATATTGAAAATTTTGAGAACGGGAAAACAAATACAAGAAGAATATATGAGGAAAAAAAATTATATTTTCACTATTTGAGGACATTATATAAAAAAACCTCTCTCTGTTTACAGGGTTAAATTCCGGACACTCATAAACAGATCTGTTCACATCCCATACCCGATTGTATTTTTTTGAGTAACTAAATATCTGTTACTCCTTACACTCACTCACACTCACCAAGACTAATTGGATTTTTTCGATGGTATTCTTGTGTAGAAGACTCTTCGTTGCTTCTCTCTCTACTTTGGTGTGTTGAAAACCACACACACAACACTTTGGTAAAGCTGTTAGACAGGACTAGATCAAGACAAAGTAGAATATTTTATTGATGTAAACTGTACAAGAATATTCGTGTTCTCTAAATATAAATAGAGAACAGATCAACATGACTTTTACTAACCAACACAACTATTACAAACCAACACACCTGTAAACAACAGAAACTAACCATAACTGCCTTTTAGAAATTTCCCAACTGTTTTTTGTTTAAATTAATTAAATATGTAAAACACACTAAACAACACCACACTAATTGACTATATACTAACTGACTCGAACATTGACTCATTACCCATTCGGTTATATGTGAACAAACCCGATTAAATCTAACAATCACACCCTTAATTGTTGTTTGTTCACACTAATCTTCACAGCAATGTTGGTTCATCATCTTCAATCAAATTTGCAATATGTTCCTTTTGATCCCATTTTGGACATTCATTCAAAAAATGCCCTAACTCATTGCACTTGAAACACTTAATGTGACTCTTATCCCGCTTAGACCAACCACCATCCTGATCTTTCTTGGACCCCCGACCTCTACCTCGGCCACGCTCAAAGTCTTCTCGGTTTAAGCTCCAGCAACCACAATGCTCAAATTTGTTTTCCTGAACCTTCTCTTTTCCATCACCTTTAGTGAAGAGTAGTTTACCATGTGTATTTCCTTACTCAGTTGACTTTTTGATGCGTTCCTCGAATCCTTCAATTTTCCAATCGCTTCTTGAAATGGCATTGCGTTAATATCGACAAACTATTCAATTGCAGCAACGATGTGTATGAACCCAAAAGTTGTCTTCAAACGTAGACCCAAGGTTGTTTGCTAGTGTTGCAAGTTGACTAATTTTATAAGCAAAATCATCAAGTGACTCATTGTTCTTCATCTTTATAATTTCAAAATCTGATCCAAGTGTCTGTAATCGCGCCGCTTTAACCCCGTCAACACCAACAAAGCGAGTCTTCAAAGCATCCCAAATTTCTTTTGTTTCAGTAAACTAAGCAACTTGTAACACGATCTCTTCTAGCAAAGCTTGAAACAAACGTGTTATTGCCATATTGTTCTTCTTTGGATCGATTTCTGTTCCTGGTTTGATCACCTCCCAAATCCCATTAACATTAAAATTTGATTTGATCTACACAACCCAAATAATATAGTTTGTACCAGTTAAAATTGGAATCGTAAAAGATAGTGAACTATTCTCCCCTGTAATCACAATCTGTCTATTATCTTCCATTGCACGACTTTAATTCCTTTGACAATTTTCACAAAATTCTTAGACTTTGATGATTCCTTCTTGGGTCGTAAGCCACCTGCAATCGACCACCAACAAGAAAACAAGCCCCTGCTTTTTCGTGTTCTAAGCCACTAAACGAAAGCTACCCCGCAGATTCATTTTTCCCGCGCTGTTTGGTTGGAATCCTTTTGCCAAAGGAAAAAACTAGCCACCTGCTATTTTTGTACTAGGCGAGGAAGAATCTTGTCGAAGATTCTTGATCTGTTGTTGAGGAAGTCTCTAACGCCTTGTATTAAGATCTGGAAGCCCTTTTGCTCCCGATTGTACAACTCTTAATCACAAGACAGACCTCTCCCTTTGATCGTTGGGTCCTTATTGGATTTTCGCTCCGGTACCAATTATTAGACATGACCAGATCAAGGCAGAGTAAAATATTTTATTGATGTAAACTATATATGAGTATTTGTGTTTTCTAAATATATATAGAGAATCGACCAACATGACTTTTACTAACCAACACAATTATTACAAACCAACACACCTATTAACATTAAAAACTACCCATAAATGCTTTTTAGAAACTGATAAACTGTTTTTTATTTAAATTAATTAAATATGTAAAACACACTAAACGACACCACACTGATTAATTGACTCTATCCTAACTGACCCGAACATTGACTCATGACTCATTCGGTTATGTGTGTGTGTGTGTTTCTCTGTGCTTATAAGTTTGTCAAAATTGCTTATAAGCAATTTTTAACTTAAAAGTCAGTTGATGACTTGTTTTTGTTTGCGTATAAGCTGTTTATAAGCTAGAAAAAATAAGTAAGTCTTTGCTACTTATTTTAAACCAATTTTTTTCTCCGTTTTGATCAAATTAATTACAAAACTATTCTTCACCATTTATGAATACTTAGAAATGATTTGTCTATCATTTAAGTCATTATACTTTCATGAAAGAAAATTTGACTTATAAGCAACTTATAAATTAAAAAATACTTATCAGAAATAAGTCAATAAACACCAGTACAGAGAAATATCCTATAAACTAGTAAGCTCTAAACAAAATGATCTAAATTTTAGATGGCCCCTTGCAGTGGCAAATCCAGAAATTCAAACTAGTGGAGGCAGACTTGAAGAAAAAATCACTCTCCTTTTGTCCCACAAAAACATTTATTGTTTGAAAAAATGGACTTTAAAAATGTTTAATTTTAATATTATTTTCTATTCCCTCCGTCTGGAATTTATGTTCCCAGTTTGACTATTCTCCGTTTTTAGTAGGAGTTGCATGACTAATGGCTTGCATTGCCCAAAACACCCCTGCTCTTCCTAAGCTGGTTTTTTATCTCAGCACCAAAGCCACCCCAACTGCCCCCACCACCCCAACCGCCCCAGCCATCGCCTAGCCCTAACCACCACCCCAGCCCCGCCATACCTGTGATTGTAAAGCAAAAGCCTCCCTCAACCATAGATCTATGAGGAGATGAAATCCAAACACCGCAAGTAGATCTGGTCGGGAAGAATAAGAATAAGAAAAAGAAGGGGGGAAGAGAGAGAAGACGATGGCCAGATCTGGCCGAGAAAGAAAAGGGGAGAAAGAAGAAAAAGAAGGGGGGAGAGTGAGAGAAGTTGGTCGCATGATTTTGCCGAGAAAAAGAAAGGGAAAAAGAAGAAAAAAGGAGAGGAAGAAGAAGAAAATGGGGAGAAGAAAAAATAGAAGGGGGAGGGGGAAGAGAGAAAAAACCCGGACATAGAAGAAAAAGAAAGGGAGGAGGGTGTGGTGTGCGAGAAAAGAGAGGAGAAAGAAGAAAAAGAAAAAGGAAGAAAGAAAGGAGAAGAAGAAGGGGTATTTTAGGAAGAGTGGGTATGAAAACATAGAATGAGAACTTTATTTCCGGACGAAAAAAAGCGTAGAGTGGGAACTTTATTTCCGGACGAAAGGAGTAATTTTTATCCAAAACATCATATCCTATTTTTTTTTGAAAAATATGCAATTGTATTATCCCAACAAAAGCCAAACTCATAAACTTACCGTCTCAAAATCAACATTATCTACTCCCTCTACATACTCTATACATATCCTACCATATTACTCTCTCCGTCCCAGTGTATTTGTCCAGTTTGACTTTTTCGAATCAAACTAAACAAATTTTGAGCTCCAATTAAATAAAAATCATAATGTATTTTAACATAAAAATGACTTTATTGGATTTATCGTATTGAAAACTTTCAAAATTATATTTTATTATGCTAATATGCAATTTAAATTGAAAGTAATTGGAGTTCAAAGTTTGTTCAGTTTGACTCAAAAAAGTCAAACTCGACAAATACACTGTAGGTGATATAAAATTACAACAAATGGATTAGAAAATAATACATTTTTAATGAAGAAAAATATGTGGTGTAAGTAGGGTACAATTTGGTGTACCAATAGATAGAGCAAGTTTTTTCTGAGAAATAAAGCAAAATAATATATTACAAGGTAATATAATAACAATGTAATATATGAAATAACAATTCAATTTTTTTTTTTTTTTGTTTTTTGAGAAGGTTTTTTTTGCTTTTACGAAAGTGGCCAAGAAGGGATAATGGGCAACCAATTTTTTATGGGGGCGTCACTTTTATTTCATTAAAAGAATAAAAATAATCAACGTACTAATAAATTTTTTTCTTAAACTCACTGGGGCAAGTGCCCCCATTCCTTTAAACATAGATCCGCCCCTGGCCCCTTGTAATCCTTTTTTATGTACAATGTAATTTTAAAGTTCCATTCTTTAGACCAAAAGATTCACATTTTTTTTGAAGGAGAGTAGCATACTTATTTCAAAAAGAAAAACAAAATACGCCGGTCATGTAAATAGATTCTCTTTGTGAAATATTTTGGGACACTATTTGCCACTCCCTTTTATAATTGCCAATCTATTTTCAGAGAAAAAAAAGAACAAATAAAACATTTTTGGTTTTAGATATTCAGCTCTTTAATGCAACGAAAATGGAAATCCAGCAAAAATAGTTCCACCATAAATATGAGAATGATGAAAAGACCCACTCCATTTGTAAGATCCTTTTAACCAGAAAGACAAGCCTAGTACTTTGTTTGTTTGTTTGTTTGTTTGTTTGTCCGGAAGAATGATTTAAAAGAAACATAGACCATAAGAATCATCTCCATCACAATCATCTTGAATCACCAAGAATGAGAGATAATAGAGTCATTAGTGGAACAATTTTGAACAAATGTACATGGCAAGGCTTGGAGGACTCTTGACATGCTCTCATCGCGACTTGGAAGACGACTTGTCCTTCCATCCCCTCTGGCGGGCCCTCAGCTCCCACATTGCGGTCACCTTCTTCTGCGCCTCCAGAGCCACATCAGCCTTTTCTCTCGCCTCCTCGCACGTCTCCATCCCAGAGTTGCACTTGTCTGCCTCTTTCATGTACTGAGATGTCATCCTCTTCGCCTCCAGCAGGGCAATGTCGGCCTTGTGCTGGTTCTCAGAGGCTTCCGCTTCTCGCGACTTCAGTTCCTCTGACAACAGCTCTGCAAAGTTCTTCTCTGTATCTTCACCCATCTCCGGATCATGTTTTCCGCAATCTGATAGATAACACTGAAAATGTCACTAAGAAACACTTTGAAGTCTTGTGTGGGCTAAACTAGGGAAAGCTTGCAGGAATGGTTAAGACAAAAGGAAGAGAAAATGATGGAGTGTTTGTTTCACCAACCTGTAAAGGAAGCATTGCTCAATCCTGCATTCAGAAGACAGAAATCAAAGTCAGGAAAGTTTTGCCAAAAGGCCGAGAAATTTAAGTTCAAAGATAACATCAACAAGGTGTTGGAATAGATCAACGATTCGTCCATATGGATAAATTAGGGAATTGGAAATAAACAGAAACTAAATGATGGATGTTATACAAGGTTATGAAGTTTTTCAGCATGTCATTTGCGAAAACAGAGAGTCAAAATGGTAAGTTATCTAGTCTCCTACAGTCCAGTATACCATAAGGCTTTTGCAGCATAAGGTTAAAGTAACTTTAGAATAAAGAAATTGTGAATAAAAATTACAACAAAGCCTTATCTCACTGGGTGGAATCGGCTACATGGATCAAACAACGCCATTGCGCCCCATCATTTACCTTATCAAAGGACCTAAAAATAACAAAGCCCAAAAACATAAACCCCTACAAATGCACTCTCCCACTTAACTAACTCCTATACCTCAATCCCAAGCTAAAATGTCACTCATCAAACTCCAAAGAGTAAGCAATCATTAAATATAAAAAAAAGACAGTTAATTAAAAACATGACATTGTCTATCTCCTCTTGGAGAACTGCCTCCTCTTTAGAGGCAGTGACAGTTAGCCATAGATCATGCTGCCTCAACTTGCACTCATGCCAGAAACAATAATAGATAAAATACAGGAGGTTCAGTCCGTCACTCGGAAAACCGGCAGTGATACTCCATTATAGAGAGCCACAATCACTGAACAAAAGGAAAACTTATCGCCAGAATTTAGAGTTGTTGAATAAATGGATTCGCTTCTCACTAAACAAAATAGGTTCATACTCCGTATGTTAATTTGAACATCAACAAGCTCTCTAAGCATCTGTTCAAATGAAGAGGAGCAAATATGAACATGAAGTAATTTAGCTTCAAAGGGAAGCTGATCAAGCAAATCAATATACTGTTCTCTTGATGTATATCTTGATTTCTTCAAGGAGGACCAATTTCCTAAACGCGCAAGCTGATGGAAGTTAGGAAAGAAGATAAAGTTTGCTACTTTACCGAGCAGATGAACTGAGATTTACCAGATAATGAATGATTTAGACTATAACCACACAAACATCAGACCCCAGAGAGTCAAAGCAAGTTGAAACTCAGGGATCGAAGAAGATCCATGGAGAAATGAATTGAATACCTTGAGGAATGGAGAGAAGGGGTTGAGAGTTGCAGTCACAGTTACAAGGAGGACAAGAAGAGCGGCTGACTGCTGCTAAGCCTTCCTTGAGGTGCCAGTACAGTGGCGGGCCAAGAATGTATCCCACCAAGAAAACTCCCATCACCCCAAGCGCCGCCGTCGCCGCCCTCTGCGCACATCTCTGTTTGTTCAGCCCCATTCTCTGATGATCTGCCGACTATCGCACAGACACCCATTGAAAAAAGATGGAATCTTTAACAGTCCCGGTCTTGCAGTAACTCCTGAACCTGCTGGAACTCCGGGGTGAATTCGACTTTTCAAAACCTGTTTTTTTAAACTTCCCATTAATGACATTTAGCCCCTTGTATTTCTCTTATTTGCCCTGCGTGCCCACTCGTTTGCTTTTTCTCTCTCGCCGCTATGCGAAGGAAGAGCGAACGATGAGGACCCGAGCAGTTTGGAATTCGAATGTTTCGGAATTCGCGCGGTTTCTGGCGAGAAGGACGGCGTCGTTCACGGCTTCTACCCGATCCGCCGTGGAACTGGCTTCCAGTGACGGAGAACTCCGGCTCTTCATTGTTGCCGGCGAGGTTTCCGGCGACTCCATTGGTGCGCGTCTTATGGGTTCTCTCAAAAAGCTCTCCCCTCTCCCCCTTCGGTTTTCCGGCATTGGAGGGTAACTCTAGCTGATAATTGGTTGCTTCTCAAATTCAAAACTTTAGTCTACTTTTGGCATCATAGAGCTCATAAACTAATTCTTTCTGGATTTATGCAGCGAAGTTTGCTTCTTTGGATCTATGCAGGCATATGATGTCAAAGCAAGGGTTGAACTCTGTCTTTCCAATGGAGGATATTGCAGTTATGGGTATTTGGGAATTATTGCCACATCTTAATCAATTCAGGGTATGGTACTCTATATGCGTTAATCCCTATCAATTGCTTTTAGCTAAATTTCTTTTCTTTCTTTTTTTGTTCATTAAGAAAGACACTTTACTTAGATTACTAGTGCTATGCTTTAATTTGTGTGTGTGTGTGTGTGTGTGTATGCATTCTACATTGGAATTGGAATCACAGGTTAGATTGAAACAAGCAGTGCAGGCTGCTCATAGTTTTCGGCCTCATGCTGTAATCACAGTGGATTCAAAGGGATTCTCCTTTCGTTTCCTAAAGCACTTGCGGGGTAATACACAGCAGCAGATTTTGAACTTAAGATAGATATAGTAGCAGCTTTTTTCTCCACAAACTGGAAAAATGGTTTTTGCAGATAGGTCCAGAAAACAAAGAATGTGTGACGCTTTGCATTTTCATTATGTTGCGCCTTCATTCTGGGCTTGGAAAGGCGGCGAAGCAAGACTTGGAGGGCTGTCTGAATTTGTGGATCACTTGTTGTGTATCCTTCCTTTTGAGGCAGAAGTGTGTAGATCAAATGGATTACGTGCAACATTTGTAGGCCACCCCACCCTTGAAGATGTGGTTGAGTGTGAGGTGAAAACTTTCTCCTCAAGTGTTTGGCTTTTCACTTCTGAGGCAACTCTAAAAAACTTTTTTCTAAAAAAAAGCTAAATGCTTAGTTGTTTCTTCATCACACTAATTTCCACCATTTGGACTCATTTATTGAGTTTTAAGCTTGAACCAATGTTAATTGAGTCATGAGAATCTACTTCAGGTGAAAGATGCTACGGAAGGGAGATGGAAAGTTAAAGTGAATGCCGAAAAGTTTAGGAATGACAATGGAATATCCTCAGGTATAGGCATATAGTAACTCGTATAAATCTTTTGTTCATGTTTCTTTCCAGATTTTTTTGTATAATATAAGGGAAAAGCAATGATCTGGACAACCAATACATACAGTTTATTTGATACTTAGAATGCCAAAAAATCATTAAAAATTGATTGGCCTCATGAACCAAAAACTTTGATCTAGTTGCATGCTCCCAAAGTAATTGTAGAAAATAATTGCTGTTCTAGGAAGTCAATGCATTCTTTTACTAATCTTCCAATTTTGTCCATATCAACTCTCCCAGCATATAATGCTTCAATACCTAAAAAGAAATAAAATGCATTTATGTTTAAATTTAAATGAGGGTACTAGAAGGGTCATTTGCGCTTTTCTAAAATGTCATTTATTTTGGGATGGAGGGAATATTTATTTAGCAGCCGTGACTTGACTTGTGAAGGATCCAAAGTCATTTCCTTGCTTCCTGGAAGCAGATTGCAAGAGGTTACTAGAATGATTCCCATCTTCAGAAACACTATGAAGGAACTTCAAGATTCATTTCCAGACATCATCACGACCATCCTTGTAGCACCTAATCAGCATGTGGAGAGTTTCATCAGTCAAGCTGCCCTTGACTGGCCTGCATCTCTTATATTGGTTCCAGGGGGATCACCCCAGATGAAGTACAACTCTTTTAGTGTAAGGATACTTGCTAATTTCATTCAAATGATCTAGTTGATTTAGAGTTCAGTTCAGTTCAACTAGAGCCCGGAAAATACTAGGGGGGACAAATAAAAGTTACTCCCTCAATTCCATATTAACTATCCATTGTGACTTTTTTAGATACATTGAAAAGTGATTGAATGTAGACATAACGTATGTCTACATTCATTAGGTTTTCAATGTATCTAAAAAGACATAATGGAGGGAGTATGCTTAAACCCATTGAAATTTATAAGAATACATATTTCATATTTGTCTGTCTAAAAATAGGCTAGCGATGTCGCGCTATGCACTTCTGGGACAGCTGCCATGGAGTTGCAGCTAGCACGCTTACCCTGTGTCGTGGCCTATCGAGCCCATCTCCTAACAGAATGGTTCATACGTTACAAAGCTAAAGTCTCGTATATTTCCCTACCGAACATCCTTTTACATTCACCTGTAATACCCGAAGCTCTGTTTCATGATTGCACACCCTCAATATTGGCAATGCTGCTCAGGTTAGGCTCTTGAGTCATCATCCTCTTCTTAAATTCACGGCTTCCTGTGTGACTCATAGATTGCTTGTGCGCATGCAGGAGGTTGATTCTTGATGAGAGCATTAGACAAAAACAGATGGTTGGCGCCGAGAAGGTGGTTGAATTGCTGAGACTACCAGAGCGAAGAATGTACAGCAGTTCGGCGCAACTGGATTCCACATGTGGTCATTTTACACCTAGTATGATTGCAGCTTCTACCATTCTGTTTTCAACAAGGACCAAAGATGATGATTGCAAAATATGAAGATTTTGACCCTTAACTTTACATTCAATGCTCTAGTGTCCGGTGTCCATTCTTTTTTTTACTCAAATAAAAGAGCACACATCATTAACATGAATCCTACCATACACAACAACTGGTCTACCTTTGTGTGCTCCTTTTGGTAGTACATGGACTGATTGCACATCAAGCAATGGTCCAGCTAAAACATGTCCACAGCCTTTAACTTCTTCAGTTTCTCTTGCTCTATTTATATATTGATTATATTGACTAATAACAGTTTCTTGGTGGAAGACTCATATGAACTTTCTCATGGCTCTGAAAGGCCAGTAGGTTGGCTGAGTTCACAGCTGTAAAGACTTTCAGCCTATTCCCATTTGTTAATTGCTAAGTCAATGAAGTTAAAATGCAATTCTTAGTTGGTATTAAGAGTATATTTTTATGTTGTCCCGGAAATGTGACTGCTTCGGAACAAAAGAAAAACAGACTCCTTATTACGATACAATTCAAAAGCAGTATCAGAATGTTTCAACACAAACCATCAGTGACGGGTTTCTTACTCACTTCTAACTGAGTGTAGCTAATAATAATTTCTCGTATTTCGTTCATTTCCTCGCCAAAAAAAGAGAATAGTTTTGCTGAAATATCTGTTCTTCATTTCTTTCCTCCTACATACAGAGTACCTTTTTAAAATCTCTAATCAAACATTTTCTTTTCCAATATTCATAATATTTTCTTTTCTATGACGATTAAAATTCCTTTAACTAAACATGATGTAGTACTCTATATTAAAATTGGGAAGAGATCCCACAATTGTACAAATAAAAATTAAAAATGTTAGATGCCCGCCACCATTGATAATACGAACGACCATCGTATGACAATAAGCGTATGTGAACTCTCTTGGTTCGCAGATGATTATCGTGTACAATATCATAGACGGTTGTCATACGTAGTATCAAGCGTAGTGGGTTTCATCAAACATGTCTCAAAGAAAATTCAAACTGAACCAAACAGAGGGTGTGTATAACATACATCACATATATACACTTTCACATGAGCACACAAATGCACAATATCACATAAGCCCTTCGTTTGAAAGAAAATTTCAACTCAAAATTACAAGAATGAACCACTACAGCACATCCACATGCAAAAAATATAGGTGTAAGGAGTGCTGCTTAGATTGGACACTGAAGCGAACACAAAATTACCCAAAGAGGAAAAGGCACACACTGTTCTACACAAGTCGATTGAGAGTACAACCACAGCCCAGTTGAATCTCACAAGAGTAGGGTCTCGAAAGATGAGTGTGTACGCAGTCCTTGCACCTACTCCAAACTAGTAAGGTTGTTTTCAACAGACCCCCGGCTCAAGCAAAAAAAGGAAACAGCATCCTCATTTCGAATTCGGATTCGAAGTAATCGAATACGAATCACGAATCAAACAAAAAAGGTTTGCTTCTTTTATAGCCCTACTCACAAAAGGCCAGCCGTTTTCTGTATCAAGCTGCACAAAAGCTATTACCCTTCACCCAGTCATAACCACAGGGTTATGTTGATAAGCTCCCATTCCAAATGATCTCCCTCGACCTCCTGCTCTTCCTGCACCTTCTGATCAAGTCAATTCCCAAACTCAGTTTGCTTGCAGGTTTAACGCGAGAATAGTTCTAAAGCAATGCACTACTTAATTAACACGACTAACAAGACATGGAAATATGGAAGCAATGGCAAACCATAATAAGTATGGTGTACTAGTTGGAAGAACATACCTCTCCCACGTGAAGTGATGTTCTTGTTGACTTGTCTCCTCTCCTGTATGTGGACTTGCCTTCCATTTAATTTTATTGGAGAAACCTAACAAAAAAAGGCAATGACATCACTATTGATGCATATAACAATAATTGGATATTTTGATGTATGTAAAAGATGGCATGCTCAGGGTAATTAGCGGATCAAAACAACAATATGATAGCACATCGAGATATATTCCTCCGTGACATTGCAGCTAAACACACACACACACACACCAGTGATAACACAAAAGAGCTAATGAAAACTGAAGCTAGATAGATCTCAAACCTTGAGTGCATTGCAAACACCCTTGACATCTTCAAATTCAACAACCGCATAGCAGTTGCCAACATCCTGCACGCCAATTTCAGTTCTTGTATCAGCATGTATCCATTTCTTTTCTTCAAGGAAAATATTCAACTAAGAGAGAAATAACCAACCTTTCCCTTTCTCAAAACCACTCCACCTTGCTTGATTGTTCCAAAGTTTTGAAACTCTCTAACAATATCTTGAATTGATACCGTAGTTGGTAAATTCTTGACAAACACAGACAATGATTTCCCTGCCACATGAACAGATTTGGCATATCACAATTAGAAACCCAGNTGCCAACATCCTGCACGCCAATTTCAGTTCTTGTATCAGCATGTATCCATTTCTTTTCTTCAAGGAAAATATTCAACTAAGAGAGAAATAACCAACCTTTCCCTTTCTCAAAACCACTCCACCTTGCTTGATTGTTCCAAAGTTTTGAAACTCTCTAACAATATCTTGAATTGATACCGTAGTTGGTAAATTCTTGACAAACACAGACAATGATTTCCCTGCCACATGAACAGATTTGGCATATCACAATTAGAAACCCAGAACACATTTGATTGCAAATTTAAAGTGAATTCACGCCGGACTAGAAAACCCATATAGTAGGGTACACTTATAAGAACAAGACCAGATTTCACCTTCCTGATGAAAGCCTTTATCAACCCGTTGATGATTGTAATCACGTAAAACCGTTGAGAAAGGATTTGACTGGCGGAGAACTGGTTTCCGTTCTGGAGGTGGTGGTGTGCCCTTGGTAAAGGGTGGCGGCACACTAGCAGATGGTGTAGATTTTCCTTTAGGTCCGCATACCTACACATCACCAAGCATTTTATGTCAAATTAAAGGAAGAAAAAACATGTATTCTGATTACTGGCACTGATGACAGATAGGAAAATGTATATCGTGCAGGAAAGCTAAAAGTACAAGGGATACATACTATGGAAGCATAGCTAAGTTTTGCGATCTCCCCAACAGGTTCTTCCCGAGATGGCCGTGGAAAGTCAGAAGCTTCCACATTTTTTTCCAACTCAAATGGCTTTTCTTCTGAGGAACGCTCCTTGTCCACTCTTTCTGAGACGTGTTCTTGCAATTCTTGCTGATACGACGAGTGTTCCCTAGCAGAATTGTTTCCTTTTAGACTGACCAGGTTCATATCTTCCATTTTCTCCTTTCCTGATTCATAGTAAGAGGCTGCCAAGAAAAAACGAAAGGAAAGAAGTGTAAGTTTAAGCCCCGCCAATGATGATGCAGTGCTATAATACAGAGAACTAGTTTACTGTACTCGAGATGCTATTTCTATACAATTGGAAGCCTGTGATCTAGCCATTATCCAAAAGATATATGCAGTTCCAATAGCTTGTTCAATATCACTTTACATAATATTCATCTTCGTCTTCAAATTTTGAGTACGGCTCGTGTTCCTTTGTGTGACAAATTCATCTTCATCTTCAGTCGATTTCTCTTATTTTGCTTCGCCTACTTTTTTTTTATATAATTTCTATTCAAACATACTATTAGGATACTGATGTCACCCACTATCTTTAACCTGATAGTACCTAAACCTTGTTAATTCATAATGTTTATGATAACTCATGCAAAGATCCAAACCACATGAAGCCACTAGGTCACCAAAATGATCCAACAGTGATAAAATAACCAAAATTTACATATAATAGAATTTAAACTGTATAATATACATAATTAATACACTTACCATCTCTCCAAGACAGCTTAATGTCAAGCTCATAGAGAGTTGTCTCCATCGTAAACAAATGATGTCCAATCTCAAATTCTTTTTTGAATGATAAACTATCATTCACAGTTGACCCACAGAGATCCAAATCAAGAATAAGACTTGAATGCATTGGAACCACAACCACACAACGAGCGAGTGGTACCTTCCCATCAACCCCTAATTCTGCTAGATCTTTCTTAGACCTTTTAAAAAGCACACTTCGAAAATACTCTCTCTTGAACTGAGTTGAGTAGTCGAAATTGCTATATTGAGCTACTACACTTCCATAAATCAAGGGATCACAAACATTCTTGACCTTGAAATGCACCTCAATGTCAGCAAGACAAGCTTTTCGGAACATGGAATAAAATAGAGCACAAAAACCATCTTCGCCTGGGATAACAGAACATCGCTGGGTGTTGAACCAAAAAGGACGTCCGCTGAAATCAATTTCATAAGTAAGAAAACCTTTATTCTTATACTTCCCGTCAACATCTTTCAGATTGATTTTCAACTCAAGCGTCTCGCAATCATAATATTCTTTGTCCACTTCCAACAATGGAAGAACTTTGTCTCCTTCTTCCATTTTCACAACATCGTCACCAATACTCTTGAATAGATATTGTGAATTATGGTCGGTAGTGATTTCAATAGTGCCTGACACATTCAATGCCATCAAATTTCTACGACCAATAAGAACAGAGTAGAACTCCACTAGGTTTGATGCGCAAGGTGTCACTGGCATACTATGATGATGGTACCTATTAACATGAATAAATTCAGAGACCAAATTAAAACTTGTAACAAAAGTGGAAAGAAAAGACAAAAGGAGGAAAGAAAAGACTGGAAAGAAAAGACAAAAGGTAAGAACCACATACCGAAGGTTGTCTTCGAAAACGCATTCATCATCAGACTGGAAAGAAAAGACAAAAGGAGGTCAAAATAGGTGGAATCACTTTCGTACTAATGTACAAAAGTCGGCAGTTATGCTCCGGGAGCTTTGGGTAGTTCAGATGGTTAGGTGTGGGTGGGTGGCAGTTATGCTCCGGGAGTTAGAGGTGATCAGCAGTGAGTGGGAGGGGTGGGGGATAATGGGGTGAAAGAAATATAATGGTTTGGTTTGAGGGGATTCTAGTTCATTTACTACTATGTTTAACAAAAAAATTAACAATTAAGGCGATGGGATTACTTGGTCAAGTGTTGAGAGGCATCAACTAGAATCACAAATATGTTAAATTGGATACCAAGAGAAAAAATAGGAAACAAGATGAACTTGAAATAAAAGAAACAGAGCAAAAATTAAATTCATCCAAATCATCCTTTTTTAACCTACTGCCAAGGAATAGCCTATCTTGCTTTTTTGTATGAACTCATTTTCCTGCTCTTTTGGAAAAATATACGGAGTATTGCTCAGAGAGAATGGGTTACCTCATCCGAATCACTGCTCTCATAGCAGCAGCCATCAGGTTGATACGAAAACATAGGCATATGCACACGAATGGTCAAACCATCTACTGTCACTAAATACTCAGTTGAAAACACACCGTTCCGGTCAAATAATTCCACTTTTCTTTTGATGAGCGTTGTGTTGGCATCGAAGTCTCTCAAATCCAGATCAAGAATGAGTGATGAATATGCAGGCTTCCCTAACCAGTATCTAGAGAGCCTCAAGTATTTATTCATCTTTAAATTGACAGGCTCAAATTCATCCTTACTCTCAAAAAGAGTCCATTCTTCCCAGTCATAGTTGCCGTAAGTGTTCTTATATCGTGCAGATATTTTACCGGCGACATTAACCTGATGGATGTTTCGGTCTTTGCTGGAGAAATGAATGCCCAGTCGACCCAATGTAGCAAATGGCATTGCAATATAAACAACAGTAGCGGAGCAAAGTTTTCCACCGATTACTTTTGATTTCACTTCTTCAAAATCACCTTTGGTTGTATCCCCCACTAAAATGTCATCTACGGCAAGTGGAGCAGTCCGATTTCCAATTTTGAGATAGAGATCCGCAGCTATTGTTGTTTTGTCCAATTTCATCCACAAGTCATAGACCTTCTGATTATTATCATCAGGCCAAGTGAGAGTTAAATTACCGCCAGTTGGGCTAATGTATTCAGCATCATCGGCACTTCGGTTATAAATGTCAAGATGCATTTGTCTACCATCACTGATGTGTAGATAATTAACACGAATCCTACCATACACAAAAACTTGTCTTCCTTTGAGTGCTGCTTTTGGTAGTACATGGACTGATTGCACATCAAGCAATGGTCCAGCTAAAACATGTTCACGACCATTGGCTTGTTGAGTTTCTCGTGCTGTGTTTATACATCGAACAAGTTGACTAATATCTCCGAGAGCACCATAACCCTCTCGAAGATAGTCCACATCTTGGGATGTAACGTAGGGGTACTGTTTCAGAAGATTGCCGGAATCATCCATAATTTAAGATTCACTGCATCCAATTGGGTTGAAATATTCAACATATCATCCGTCCAATAGAGAAGCAAAAAACTAAGCAATGAAGAAGCTAGCACAAACAGAGAATAAATCTGGAAGCAATGGACTCATAATCCTAAAACTTAGCATAACGTTTTTGTTTATAAAATCTACAGCAAGGAACCAGTAGAGGTACGACATAGTGAAATTGAATCCCTCCCCTCCCTACACGGAGAACATCGATCACATATGAAACCTCCAACAAAGCTTTCTCCTCGCTTCAACATAGAAAATTCAGTTAGGGCTTTGAACATACCTGGTAATAACTGAGAGAACAACAAGGCAGGAGGAGGGGAAGGACGAGGTCGAACGCTGAGGCGTTGTTCAATTGCGTCTCCAGGGGAACAAAATCCGTTATGTTTAAAGGATAGCTTAAATAGAGAGAGAGAGAGAGAGAGAGAGATCCGGCTGACATCAAAACTTTATTTGGGCTCTGGGCTTCCACTTTTTTTTTTATCAAACTAGCATTTTAATCCCTGCAATGATTCTTTTTATTTTATAACTTTTCTTGGCTACATCAATCCTTGAATATCGAATAAAATAAAATATCAGCTTTAAAAGCTAAAACACATATAAAGCATATAACATTTGCTAATGAAATTTCTACAATATACATTTGAAAATTAAATATCAAGGTCTTTTTTAAATTAAAATATTTTGAAAAATTTTGATATATTCGCCATATTTTTGTGATGTTATATATAGAGATTATCAAATAGATTTAAAACTAATACTTTGAACTCTACTTTTCATTCTTACCCGTGAAACGATAATATAAAATTAATTGTAAGTGAATAACAAGTCGGTAAAAAATCTTATAAATGATAATGTTTAGCCTTTACTTCATTTATAATCATAACGAAATAAAAACTATTGGAATTATATTATTTGAAATTTCAAGGGTAATCCTTTATGAAATAATACACAATTTATTTTTTTAGCTATGTGAATAATCTCTACGACTTTGTTTTCTAATTCTATAATCATGACGGAGTTAATTTTTCACAACTCTTTAATGGTTAACTTTATACTACTACGTATTATACAGCTCAGATGGTTGATCAATGTTCAATTGTTTATCAATAACCTAATGGATATAACTTTTTTCAAATTAAAATTACATTGTGGTTTAAGATTCACAAACATTTATTTAGATTCATAAACTTTCTTCTCAAGATCAGCACTCTTTTTCAGAAATTTTTCTTCAAATTTCTTCTCCAACTTCAGCTCTAATTCGCTCTTCAGTTGGGCAGCACAGTCTATGTGGCTATTCCCGCCTGAAGACAATGCACGAGAAGCACCAGCTTCACAGTCCCTCCCAAAGACCCTATTCTTCTTGTTACCCGCCACATCCGGGTACAAGCCAAGGTCATCTTCTAGTTCCTCATCAATATGATCAAAATTCACAAAATTGGCACCTGATTCGGATGCTGCCTGGTGCTTTATTACGAGCTTCTCCTTGTAGTTTCTCTACGTAAATTAAGAGTTAAACAAGTCAAATTTCATTAAAGATGAAGGTAATCAATACATAGTAAGAGCATAAAAAAATAATAACTAACCTTGATTTGAGCAACTTCAGGAGATGACTCAGATCCCTTCTTCGCAAACAATCGATTAACGATCTTGATGCAATTGGGAGCGACATTGTTCGCTTCCTCCTATTTGATAATTTTTGGTTATTAAAAACCGACCGAACCAGGTCAGTTATTTTCAGTTTCGGTTAGTACGGTTTTGGCCCTAACTCGGTTCAGTTCGGTCAGTTATTGAATATCAATTTTTTTTGTTAGTTCGGTTTTGGCCCGAAACCGACCAAATCGACCCGATGCTCCCCCTAAGTAAACCCCCACCACCTCCCCCTAAAAAATCTTTTCCCTTAAAAATTTTCTTTTTGCAAGAATGGATCCTAAATCTTGGAGCTGGCAAATCGGTCAGCTAGTTTGAATTCGAGTTTGATCATTTTGAGATCACGGGTTACTTCACATTCGGATAAGTTCGCATTCGAACATATATTAAAGCGAACTTTAAAAAAAAAATATTTTCTTACCTTATGTATAACATAAATAGGATAAACATACTCCGTATATTTAAGGACAAACTAGTATCACACCCGCGTTGCACGACACGTATTTACGTTATGAATATATATTGGTGTCATTATTAACGAAAGAAGAAGAACATATAATCAAATATAAGATTTTTCATTATTTTAAAACATGAATATCTCTCAAGGAGCCAACTCAACCAAAAATTGAGTCTATTGATTTCCATTTTCTCCATTCCTGATTCATAGTAAGAGGCTGCCAAGAAAAACATAAGGAAAGAAGTGTAAGGTTAAGCCACACCAATGATGATACAGTGCTAATACAGAGTAGTAGTTTACTTACTGTACTCGAGATGCTATTTTTATACAACTGGAAGCCCATGATCTAGCCATTATCCAAAACATATATGCAGTTTCATCGTAGACATCATAATCATAACAAGCATTGAATTGCTCAGTTTCCATGTTCATGCAACCTTCTTCTCTGCGGCAGATTTCTTCAAGTGTTTACCACCACCACAATGAAGAAGAAGAGCAAAAAAATTGTAGCATGAAGTACACCGAAGAGGAAATTTGAATTGTCTGCATACAATGTCAGGACATAACTTTTTCTCATTAATTTGTTTTTCTACTGCATTCGTTTTTTAATGCTAAAAGATTTAATAATTCGTTTTAGTTTGTTATTTTCCCTATCAACCTTACAAAAAACAATTTTATAATAGTCAAACTTGTTCAATATTACTCTACCTAAACCTTATTAATTCATAATGTTATAATAACTCATGCAAAGATCCAAACCACACGAAGCCACTAGGTCACCAAAATGATCCAACAGTGATATAATCAATAAATATTGCATATAATAGAATTTAAACGGTATAATATACATAATTAATACACTTGCCATCTCTCCAAGACAACTACATGTCAAGCTCATAGAGAGTTGTCTCCATCGTAAACAAATGATGTCCAATCTGAAATTCTTTTTTGAATGATAAACTATCATTCAAAGTTGACCCACAGAGATCCGCATCAAGAATAAGACTTGAATGCATTGGAACCACAACCACACAACGAGGGAGTGGAACCTTCCGATCAACCCCTAATTGTGCTAGATCTTTCTATGTCCTTTTAAAAAGGACACATCGAAAATACTCTCTCTTGAACTGAGTTGAGTAGTCGAAATTGCTATATTGAGCTACTACACTTCCATAAATCAAGGAATCACAAACATTCTAGACCTTGAAATGCACTTCAATGTCAGCATGACAAGCTTTTCGGAACATGGGGTAAAATAGAGCACAAAATCCATCTTCACCTGCGATAACAGAACATCGTTGGGTGTTGAACCAAAGAGGATATCGGCTGAAATCAAGCATGTAAGTAAGAAAACCTTTATTCTTATACTTCCCGTCAACATCTTCCAGACTGATTTTCTTCAACTCAAGGATCTCGCAATCATAAATTTCTTTGTCCACTTCCAACAATGGAAGAACTTTCTCTCCTTCCATTTTCACAAAATCATCACCTTAAGATGTTGACCTCAACGGAGAATTGAGACATCTCTCCTTCCTTATTCACAACATCGTCACCTAAAGATGTTGGCCTCAACGGAGAATCTCACAGTACATTATACCTTTCAAGATGAGTGGCCTGATTTAAAACTCTTTTGATATCATGGGAGCACTATGAAGTCTAAATATCAAATACACCCAACAATAAAAAATTTAAATTTTTGGCCCTAGTGTGCGCGTATCAACCCAGCTCGACACCTTTGAGTTCTGACGTTTAGTGCGCGCGCATTGTCTTGTAGACTTTCTCATTTTGTTTCAATTCAAAACATCGTGTGTCATTTCCAAACGAGGCAAGGGAGCTAGGAGCAACTTGAATTTTTACTCTAGGGTTTCAATCAATGGCAGGGAGGAAATCCAAATCTGGAGGGAAGCAAAAACAACAAAGGTGGTGTTGCGCAAGAACAAAAACAACTAAAACTCCGACTGTATGTCTATGCCTCTTATTATGAAATCATATTTTCTTGTTTAAATCTAGTTCTTATTTTGTTATTTTTTTGTTACGGTTGTAAAATATGAGAATATGCCTAAAACGTATAAAAGTACACTTCGCTGAAATGAGAAATGTCTAAAGCCCCACCAATTGTACACAGTACTCATCAAATGGATATAGAGCATATGTGGTTGTGAAGGTGCAGTTTTCAAAGAGATTAGAGGGGCCAGTTGCAGCGATGACGGATTTCCTATCATTTAGATAGAGATCATCTGTGGTTCATTGAGCGCGAAACTCCTCCTGTCAAGTGTAGACCAATGTTTGAAAAGGCGAAACGTAAACGCGCCTCAAGGCGCGCCTCGGAACTTTTTCCGGAAAAAACGCCTCAAGGCTAATCCCGTTTTCACGCTACAGGCCTTTTTACGCTATTCTTTGAAAGGCGTACGCCTTGGGGCGTACGCCCTGGTGCGCGCAATAAGGCTTACGCAATAAGGCTTACGAAATTGGAAATTAAATAATTTAAATTTTGGGTATTGAACCTTAATTAACCCAATTAAGGTGTATATATCCTAAAATTACCCAAAATTAGTGTCGATTACCCTCCTAATCTTTGTCGATTACTTTTGGCGAGCTACGAACCGTCTCCAGCCGTCCAGCGTCGGCGTCTGCACCCTTCTTCTCCGGCGAAAAGGTATGCAGTCTTCTTCCCCGTCTGTCTGCGTTTCTTTACTCTTTCTTGCTGCGTTTTATGTTTTGGGTAATTTCTCCGGCGTAATGCGTTTCTGCAGTGCAGTCTGCTTTTCTTTACTGCGTTTCTGCAGCGCAATAAGCAGTGCAGTCTGCTTTTCTTTACTCTTTTTTTTCTTCTTTTTTTGATTATGATGTGCTAATTGTCCTATTTTTTTTGTTTTTAAGATGAATTATTGCATAGTATCGTATTGTTTATTTTGCTGTTTCAGAATTTAGAATATTGCTTAGATGTCGGACCCAGCATGGAAGTATGGTGTTGACTCAACACCCACAATCAAAGGAAAAAAAAAACTACAAATATGTAAACTGCAATTTTTGTAAAAAAGATGTCAAAGGCGGGATTAGTCGATTTAAGCATCATCTTGCTGGTACAAGGAAAAATTCTGCACCTTGTGAAAAGGTTCCTGATGAAGTTAAACAAGAGATGTTATCTACTTTGAATTTGGCCACACAAACAAAACAGGTGAACATGAGAAATCGAGAGGAGCTCATTGATAGTGGTGCACACTACCGAAAGGAGTGCGCGGTCCAATGGATAGATTTGTTGTGGATGTTAATGTTGACACTCCAGATACTATTCCAGAAAAACCAATGAGCGAAAGAGAAGCTAGAGATAGAGTTTGCCTAGATGTGGGAAGATTTTATATTGAGAATGGTATTCCATTTCATGTTGCAAATTCTCCTTCTTTCATAAACATGTGCCGTGCAATTGGTAATTTTGGCAGGGGTTTTAAGCCACCTACACCGTATGAATTGAGCCACTGGATCTTGGATGAAGAGGTAAAAACGACTCAAAAAATTGTTGATGACGTGAAAAGGACGTGGACACAAACCGGGGTCTCCATACTTTCAGATGGGTGGAAAGATATGCGAGGAAGACAGTTAATAAATTTTCTTGTTAACAATCCTTATGGAACTGTTTTCTTAAAAACAGTTGATGCTTCTCGTCATGTAAAAGATGCAGACTTGTTGTGCAATCTATTTGATGAGGTTGTAGAAGAGGTAGGTGAAGACATTGTGACTCAGATTGTTACTGATAATGCTTCGAACTACAAGGCTGCCGGTGAGAAGTTATCTGAAAAACGAAAGCGCTTGTGGTGGACACCATGTGCGGCACACTGTATTGATTTGATGCTTGAGGATATTGGGAAGCTTCCTCAACACAAGAATGCATTGGTGAAAGCAAAGAAGGTAATGCATTTTATTTTTTCAATCTAAAATGTTTTTCCAACCAAACATTCAATTACCTTATCATTATCTTATATTATATTTATAAATTATGGCAGGTGACTCATTACATATATAATCACGGATGGTCATTGGCATTGATGCGAGAGTTNACCAAACGAGATCTTGTTCGTCCTGCGGCAACAAGGTTTGGTACGGCCTATCTTACACTTGAAAGTATGCTAGGCGTAAAAGAGCGGTTGGAGGAAATGTGTGTATCAAAGGAATGGAATGCACACCATTTATCCAAAACACAAGTTGGTGATGGATAAAATTCCTTCAGATGATGAGTGGGTTGTTCATGAGGATGATATGATTGTCGAGAGTGATGATGTTCATGGTGATGGTCCTGAAGTTCATACTCAAGGTGATACTGCTAGTGAAACAATCACCAACCCAAGTGGCCAAGGAAGAAATAAAGGACATCCTTCAAAAAGGCGTCGCCTTGGGAAAAGAAAAGCACTACAGCTTATTGATGAAGTTGAAGAAGATGATATTATTCTTCGAGATCCTATTAGAGATGATTTTTTCATCGATTCCGAGGATGAGAATGAAGGAAATGCAACATCTTTTGATCCTAATTTCAAGCCGTTAGACACTGATGAACTTTTTTTCAATTCTTCAATTTAAGCTCATCACTTCGAGCAAAATTATGGCTGATTCCATGTTAGACTTTGTTATGTTTGCGATGTATTGCTTTGACAATATACTCTTTTCATGTTTTTGGATTATTTATGTTATACATTATGTTCTGTCTTTGGTTTTATATTATTTTGTGAATGTTTTTCAATTTAAAATTGAGGCTTACGCCCCAAAACGCCTCAAGGCTTACGCCTTACGCCCTGAAATGAAAATGCCTCAAAACCGCAATACGCCTTTTCGAACATTGGTGTAGACATCGACCTAATTGAATATGATTTCAAGGGTAAGTGGTGGTTCTTTAATGATGTTACCGTGGTGCTTGAAGGTGCTGAATATCTCGATGAGCCCATTGGCTACGAAGGGCCTTGTGTTTGGAGTTGGGCGGAAAAATGTTCAAAGAAGTCTTTGATCTTTTGAGGAATGATCGCTCCACAACGCGGATGCAAAATTTTGTTTGTACACTTATGCGAGGTTGCAAGGTTCACATGCATAGAGAACCAAGTTTATTACGAGATTAAATAACAGAAAGATGCAATGTTTGACCTGCAAGAGGAGAAGTATCTCTGCACATTCAAGTGGGCTAGTGGGATGAGTGTGAAAAGATTGAAGACATCGTGACATTGACTTTAATGAAGAGATCTCCTAATTTTTTTTAAAAAAAAATCTTCGACTACATGGGTATCCTCGTAAGGAATTGGGCTGCAATATCTAAACAATGGGTTGTGTATGTTTTAAGCAACAAAACTCATTTCAATGAAGACGATTTGGGTGAAACACTTTGGGGATGTCGGATGACGATTGTGAATTGCGTGAGAAAGACCTTTGGCATACTTAAGAAAATTGACTTTGATGATTTGGTGGAGGAGAATTGGATAGACAGTAAGACAAAATGCAAAGAGGTGATGAAGAGGAAGTTAAGAGCTACAAGAAGATGAGGGATTAACGGTAAGTTTTGACCGAATTTAGAGCAATTTGACATTCTAATTAATTTAATATTTATGGAGAGGTTTTCTAATTGTATTTGATGTTTTTGTTGTTGTTGTTGTTGATATAGCTCAACAACAACAAAACCAAAAAAAATACCAAACACAACTAGAAAACCTCTCCACAAATACTAAAACATCAATTAAATAGAATGTGAAATCACTCTAAATTCGGCGAAAACTTACCGTTTGTCCCTCATCTTCTTGTAGCCCTTGGCTTTTTCCTTCATAACCTCTTTGCTTTTTGACTTACTGTCTATCTAATTCTTTTACACCAATTTATCTAAGTCAATTTTCTTAAGTATGCCAAAGGTTTTTCTCACGCAATTCATGTTCGTCGTTCGGCATCCCCGGAGGGTTTCACCCAAACCGTCGTCATTGAAATGAGTCTTGTTATTCAAAACATACACAACCCATGCTTTAGATAATGCAGACCAATTTCTTACAAGGTTACCCATATAGTCAAAGGTTTTTTTTCTTTAAAAAAATTAGAAGATTTCTTCATTGAAGTCAATGTCACGATGTCTTCAATTTTTACACCATCATTCTCACTAACCCATTGAATGAGGAGTGATACTTCTTCTCTTCCAGGTCAAACAATGCATTTTTTCGATACTTAATCTCGTTACAAATCTGGTTCTCTATGCATGTGAACCTTGCAACCTCGCATAAGTGTACGGACAAAATCTCGCATCCATGTTTTCTTTGTGGAGAGCAATTATTCTTCAAAAGGTCAAAGGCTTCTTTAAACAATTTTTTCGTCCAACTCTAGACACAAAGGCTCTCGTAGCTAATGGGCCCATCGAGATATTCAACACCTTCAAGCTCAACGGTAACATCATTAAAGAACCACCACTTACCCTTGAAATCATATCCAATTAGATCGAAGTCTACCTTTGACAGGAGCAATTTCGCGCTCAATAAACCACAAATGATCTCTATCTTAGTGATAGGATATCTGAGGATATCCGTCATCGTTGCAACTGGCCTCTCTAATCTCTTCAAAAACAGCACCCTCACAACCACATATGCTTCTAATCCATTCGATTGAGTACCGTATACAATTGGTGGAACCTTAGACATTTCTCATTTAAGTAAAATGTAATTTTATATGTTTGAGACATATTCTCGAACTGACAAGGTTAGGAACTTAGGAACTTAGGAGACATAGATATGCAGTCGAGGTTTTGAGGATTTCTTTTCGGTTCTTTACATCGATGCTTTTCTTGAACTGACAAGGTTAGGAACTTAGGATTCTTTCTATTTAAATAGGATTGTTTTCATTTAGAGAAAAATAAGAAAGAAGGATAATTAGCTCTCTCACTCTCTCTTTCTTTTCTCTTTCTCTCATAAAACCCCCTCTCTCTCAAACCCTAGCCACTCCTCCTCTTTCTCTTCTGCGGCAAGAGTGACGTAACACTACTAGACTTCCATAAATCAAGGAATCACAAACATTCTAAACCTTGAAATGCACCTCAATGTCAGCAAGACAAGCTTTCTGGAACATGGAGTAAAAATAGAGCACAAAAACCATCTTTGCATGGCACCTATTAACATGAAAGTGGCTAACCTAACCTAACCTAACCTAACCTAACCTCCTCCTCCTCCTTCTTCTTCTTCTTCTTCTTCTTAGAAATATAATTCAGATCTATGAAGGATATTCTTCTTCAAGTCTTCTTCATCTTTTTTTCCAACCTTTTCTGCGATGGATTGCCGGAATCTCTCTGACTTTGGATGATAGGGTTGGGCGGCCGGGCTATGCCGGCGATGGAAGATATCGGATCGGACATTGAGGGAGTGGGTGACCGTATAGTGGGGCAGGAAAGTGGGGAGGGCATAATTGGAAAGTCAATGTAAAATTTAACCTTTCTTAATCTCCGTGCCAAGTCAAAGTATGAACTTTAAAAATGGACGGAGGGAGTAGATTACATGTGCACAAAAGTAAGAACCGCATACCGAAGGTTGTCTTCGTAAACACATTCATCATCAGACTGGAAAGAAAAGACAAAAGGAGGTCAAAATAGCAAGTGAAGTAAAATGAAATATAACTCCCTTCGTCTCAAAGTATGGTGCTTAAAGAATTTTCTAGATAAATCTAGTGATATCATTTCTGTACTAATATACAATACAATTTTTATTTAATTGATGATTAAAGTTTGTTTAGTTTGACTCAAAAAAGTCAAACTAAAAGTTCACAGTGTGCCGATGTACCCAACTTTTTGAATTGTTGTCCAATAAATACATTGGTGATTCTAATTGCTTCCCCTCAACTCCTATGTAACTTACAACCATAACCCTCTACTTGGATCCATTAAATATCTAAATATTCCATCAAATGCTGATATGACATAACAGAAGTTATTGAACAATTTACCAATCGTTTGGTTACATACTACAGATACCCTAAACTAGGGACGGACACGGCCCAATCTTGGTCCAAATCTGGTTATCCGAATGGGCAAGACCGGAATCGAAACCCTCCCTCCGGGTCGTTACAGTCAAAGCGGGAAGTAAATCACTATTCCAGGCAGTTCCGGTTCCGATCCCCGTACCCAAAAGTGAGAACCAAAACCAGAATCCTTCCAAGAGGACTCCATTCTAGAACCACCAGTTCTGATTCCGGTAACAGTTCCGCGTCCAAGCCTATCCTAAACCCTGCAAACTCAACACCCATTCAACACACTGCCATGGAAAAGACAGGCAAAAAAATCCTCCTAATCCTCACGGCCTCGCCGACATCTGCACCCAGCAATTAAAAACAACTTCTAATTTCCAGTCTGGGCTGTTTTTTTGGGGGGTTAAAATGTTAAATGGGGGGCAGGTGTGGGTTGGCCAGCTTTGTGTAGTTCAGATGGTTAGGTGTGTGTGGGTGGCAGTTATGCTCCAGGAGTTAGAGGTGATAGGCAGTGAGTGGGAGGGTTGGGAGATAATGGGGTGAAAGAAATGTAATGGTTTGGTTTGAGGGGATTTTAGTTCATTTACTACTAAGTTTAACAAAAATCACAATTATGGCGATGGAATTACTTGGTCAAGTGTTGAGAGGCATCAACTGGAATCACAAATATGTTTAATAGGATACTAACTGAAAAAATAGGAAACAAGATGAACTTGAAATAAATGAAACAGAGCAAAAATTAAATTCATCCAAATCATCCTTTTTTTAGTAATCTAAGGAATAGCCTATCTTGCTTTTTTGTATGAACTCATTTTCTAGTTCTTTTGGAAACATATACGGAGTAGTGCCCAGAGAGAATGGATTACCTCATCTGAATCACTGCTCTCATAGCAGCAGCCATCAGGTTGATACGAAAACATAGGCATATGCACATGAATGGTCAAACCATCTACTGTCACTACATACTCACTTGAAAATACACCATTCCGGTAAAATAATTCCACTTTTCTTTTGATGAGCGTTGTGTTGGCATTGAAGTCTCTCAAATCCAGATCAAGAATGAGTGATGAATACGCAGGCTTCCCTAACCAGTATCTAGAGAGCCTCAAGGATTTATTTATCTTTAAATTGACAGGCTCAAATTCATCATTACTCTCAAAAAGAGTGCATTCTTCCGAGCAAGGTTTTAAAAGGCGAAAACTAGCATCGAGGCGGTAGAGGAAAATGCCTCGAGGCGGTAGAGGAAAATGCCTCAGATCAACTTGATAAAAAATAACAAACAAAACAACTTTTAGGTAAACAAAATGCATAATCCATAATTATGTCAAATAAGTCATTAAGTAATACATAAGTTTTCATTTAAAGCAAAAAAGGGGGGCAAAATAAAAACGCAATAAGATAATCATGATTCAAGATAACCAAAACACTAAAAAAGTTGATGTAAAACCAAACTATATGTAAAAGATTAAATTTAAAGTAATTATAAATTAT